ATGTTGTGGCACTATCGTGCAGTCTGTAATGATATGATGTTAGTTAGTTAGCAAATATTAGCGATTTTTTGCAAACATTTCTTTGAGTAACATGACCGTAAATATGAACTCACGATGAATGTAACATAAAACAAATGATTACTTTTTGTTAAAATCTTTATTAGTGCCAAAAATGCTTACATTTATGTGTCTTTGTTGCCCCTGAAGCCGGTTTACGCTGAGATAATTCATACCCCTTCGTTTGAAGTGTGGTCCCGAAAAATCTTCGTTTGAAGGGCTGTCTGGCCCTTCCCCTTACCCCTACCCCTCCAACCAAAAGAGAATTGAGACACCCGTACCCCTTCAGGTGAACGCGCGAAACGGAGGGGTAGGGGAAAGGGGAAGGGCTAAGGGGTAGAATTGGGATTGGGCCTAAGTCTACAGATCTCAACTGGTCTTTACCAACTACAGCGTGAACAATAGCAGACTAGTTGTTGGTGGTTCCACGGCAACATTTGAACAAAAAATGCACACAAATTGTTCTGAGACTTCGGGAACTGGATAGGTTGACTACATTAAGAAACAATGGTAGATATAAAACAAAATCTTTTTTTTTGGCTGATGTTTTAAAGGTTAATTATCTTGCCCCTCTGTTTCAGTAAACAGGGCTGTTCCTGATGCCGCAGCAAAGCACCATGCTGAAGATCATCTCGAAGATCTAGAAAAAAAAAAGAGTAAAATAAGGGTAAAATGTGATGCAAGCAATGTCAGACGCTAATAGAATATAACTTACAGTAACACACAGGCCTCTATACAAACACACTCAGACTCACCATGATGACAGCAACAACCAAGGCAGCAATGCCAATCAAATAGATCTTCTCAGAGAAAAGCTCGTTGATCTTGGAGTGACAGCTCTGAAAAATGGAGAAACGGGTTATTGTCATGCTATGTGGGATGATTTGGATGAGAATTCTTCAGTATGAGGGTTTACTGAGGGGAGACTTATTACTTCAGGAATTGTCATGTCTTTAGGACAGGTGTTTGAGATCCACATTTCAGCAACTGACAAAATGCCTCCTTTGCCACAGCAGTGAAGCTGAAAACCAGAGATGACAGTGATTAGAAATATGTCTTTACAACATCTGGACTATTATTTGGTTTGAGAGGAGTTTGTGTTAGCTTGATTAATGTTGTGATCCTCAGAATGTGAGGACTACTTACAGTCTCATGAAAGACCTTCAAGACAGTAGCGGCAGCCTGCTGTTGCTCACTGTTTGTAATTGAAAAGCCTTTGTCATACACAGAGTCATAGAAAGTGATCAGCTCTTTGGAGATCTGAAAAAATCAAGAATAATTACAAATATGTAAACAGATGTGTATGTGTCAGCTTGACAATGTGTATGCACGTGCGTCAGAGAAACTGACCTTGTCTTTGTGCATGAATCCCCAGATTCCAGCAGCAACCTCACAGGCAAACAGAATGACCAGGCAGGCAAAGAACTGTGGGGGAGAAAGAAAAGGGATGTGTACTGTATATAGTCATGAGTCTGTCACTGAATTTGTAATTAACAATAATGTGGATTATGTTTCTGTGTAACTGAAATTAAAATTCACTCAAATATTCACCAATATGTATGAATTGCCAATGTCAGTAACAGTGACAAAAACAATAAATAAGCTCAAGAAACATTTCTTATTATTTAAATGCTTAGAAATGGTAGTGTTTAATATTTTGGTGGAAACTGTAATTTCTTTAAAAAGTTAAAACATTTCTTTTCTTACTGACCTCAAACCTTTGAACTGTAGTGTAAAAATAACGACATAAAATCAAGTCATGGCACCTTAACAAGTTCAGTGAATACCTCAAATAATTCAATGAAATCAACCAAAAAAGCCATATAAACTGTTTGAACCGTTTGTAATTTTTTACAGTGGGGTTTTACAGTCAGTCCATTAAAATATACTTCTGGTTATTGTTTGGCATCATGTGAGTTGAGGATTTGTTACTCACTGTTCCGAGAAGACACTGGGATTCCTGTATGGCTCCATAGCAACCAAGGAATCCAACAAACATCATCACAGCACCAACAGCAATCAAGATGTACACACCTACAAGAAAGAAAGCATGATGTGTGTTATCATAAAGGAGAATCCAAGATCCCTAAACAAAACTAGGATCAAAGAGTGAGCTATAAAGAGGTGCTTAATTACACTGAACAACCAAACTATATTTGAGGAGTCATCCAGTCTAAACGCTTTTTAAATATACAGAGGGTGCAGTACTTCCTCGTGACCAGCAGAAGGCACTATGTGCTCACTTTAATGGGGTGGTAACTTTACTTTAAATTGAAGGAAAACTGGAGAACATTTGGAAGTCATCCTAACTTTTTGTTTCCATTCCCTCATTCACATAAAAAAAGCATCAAGTCAACAGCAAATCAGGAATCTTAAGTAACATGGCGTGCACTGGTAGAAGGAAAAAAAGAGAATAAAAAAAAACGAGTTAAATACTCCAGTTTTTTCTTAGAGAAAGAAAGAAAAAGAAAGAAGAAAAGAAAACTCAACAATAGCAAACCTAGGCCTTAGGGTGCAGCAGCAGTTTGTGTGGATGTTCAAATGGCAGCGAACAGAGTGAGAAAAAGAACAGAAACTCACACTCTCTGAAACAATCAGCCATACACACACTGAAATCGCTGTGACTCAGCATGCAGAATGAGTGAGCATGAATTATCCTGCAACTGTATCTTTCATTGTGGCAACACATGTTCACTCTTGCGTGTTAGCTTCTGTATATTATTTTTTATAATTTTTTTGTCCCATTGTTATTTAAATGTTTTGTTTTGTTTATTAACACCATTAGCTACATTATTTATCCTCTCCAGAAAAATATTAAAAAACAAAACAATAATCCAATGTTGTGAACTGTTCTGAAAGCTGTTTTGTCAGGTTTAATCAATTCACTGATTCTCTTGTCAGTCACTCCATGCAGAGCATACTGGACATACAGCTAGGGCTGGGTATCGATTCAGATGTCCAGATTCGATTCGATTACGATTCGCAAGCTCTCGATTCGATTCTCGATATTTTTTTTATTACATTCAGTGAATATAGTTTTAATACAAATGCTATTGATATTTCTAAAAAATGAACAGTAAACATCAGTTTACAAATGGTGAATTAATAAAAAGAAATTAAGAACCACATGCCTGTATTTTAAACAATCGTAGGGCCCTATAAAATGTTCCTAATTTTTCTGGTAATCAGATGAAGGCATAAAACATTAATTTAATTTATCCTAATCAAATGAAAATTAAACCCTTTTATTTTTTGGCAAACAAAGTGCTGCACAACAGAGGATTACTGTTCAAATTAAAAAGAAAACAGATGTGATTATTCCTTTAAAAATAAAGATTTATTAATATTTATTAGCAGTAGTAGCATTGAGTCTTAAGACTGCTAAATAGTAAAATATTCAGACAGTTTCTTAAAGTTAAACTAAACTTTTATTTTGAGGGGTTGCCATGAAGAACTTGCAGCTGCTGTGTATGTGATATGACGGTAGTTTTCTCAAGTGAAACTGTAAAATGCTAGTGAAGTGACTCTCAGAGCAGCTGGAGATGACATTCATGTTCATATCATCATATAGTGAGATGGCAGAAGCTGAAAACACCGCGAGCGTCACCCACGCTTTAGTATGTGTGTAGTAAACAAAACAGTGCGCCGCACCATCCGCCATTCATTCATTGCGGAAATCATGGCACTTTATGCGTGATATCAAATGCTTCCGCAGATTTATAGTATTACTATAGCATTTCACCTGAGCATTGCGAATTGCGCGTATGGCCATGATAAGCGCTGAATGAATGACAGGATTTCTGTTGAAACATCGCGCAAGGTAAATAAGAGTGACATCTAGTGGAGAAGACTAATGATAAAATTCACGTTAATCAGATCTTGTTTTAAATGTGTGTTGAAATAAATACTGGAAAAGATCGATTTGCGGCTTTTGAGAATCGATATCGAATCGACGTCATTTAAAAAGACGATTAATCGGAAAATCTATTTTTTGCCCAGCCCTACTTACAGCACACATGTTTTTACCTCTACAGAGCCTGTTGAGTTTCACTATCCAAAATCAAACCATCTACAAGTTTAACAGTACATAATTACTACTGCATTGTTAATGTCTGCATGCTCATGATATTGTACTTATATTGTAGGTACACTACAAAGAACTGTTCAGCATCACTGGTTTAAAATCAGTCTTCGTTTCTCCATCTCTTCTTCAAATTTCAGTTCATCTTGTCCTTCCAGCCCCCTCTATCATACTCTGGCCTTCACAAAGACACCCCCAGGGCACTTCTAACTCTAATGCTGCTGGTAACACAATATCATTCTCCAGAGCATAATTAAATTGTGTTTTTAAAACATCTAAATGTCCTGCTGTCATTTACTGACTGTGCCCATTCCCTTGCAAGAGAATTAAAAAAAAAATCAATGCAGTGTGGGGTGGTGTGGGAGGGGACTGACCCGAGTCCTGATTCCATTTACTTAATTGCGATGGGTAAGGGGCTAAAGGAACTGCCACCAGGCCATTTTTCAGTGTGACAGGCCTGAATGGAGTGCTACGATGTGACTAGCATACTGAACAGCTACATAATACACACCAACTCTCCTTCTACCACACTTTCACTTTTTCTTTAAACAACCCACTTTCTTTTTGCTTCTACTATTGACTAGCTGAGAAGAGTGTAACAAGTTAAGAGACAAGTTTCATGTAGTCTAAAAATAACTGATGTGAATAAGCAGAATATTGTAAGGATATTTCTAGGCCAGGTGCTTCCTGTAAGGAATGAGAGTCTTATGACACAATACACTGAAGAGAGACCCCTATGTCTCTTTACTGGCCCCCTGGATCGAGGAACTGACTCTACTGTCTGCATCTCTGTCTGAGTGCAAGCGAGTCTTGGATAGAGTATTTGAATTCATGTGTGGGTGCAAAGAAAGTTGCCACATGCAGCTGCTATTTCCGTTAATTCGAAGAGCAGACATCTGGGTCTTGGCCAGTGAAAGAGGGAGTGAGAGACAGAAAGAGAGAGCTGGGCATGTCACATGAGGAAATGAGCAATGGAAAAAAAAAGACATTAGCAAAAAAAAAAACAGGAAAGTATGATGGAGAACAACGGGAAAAGCAGGACTGTGAACAAAAGAGTACGAGAAGAATGAGACAAAAGTGGTAAGAAAAGGAAGTGAAGGAGTGGACGGGGTAAAAGTGTGGACCTCCTTCAGCACATTTTCAGGGGAAAAATCCAGTCATTTCAATGGGAATATACACAATCAGGAATTTCAACCAAAACTGGAAAATTTCCAAAAGCAAATTTCACAATGGGTTTAAGTTGGCCACATGGATTTGTCACGTTGACTAATAGAAAGCTGCTTGGTTTCAAAGTGACTTCTGTGTGAGCTGTGCTTCATACATCACAGTACTATTGACAACAGACAGTTGAACTTTTTTGTCCACAAAATTTGCCGAAATCCACACCATAAGAAATTTCGGATGAGAGTGCAAAATTTCCCAAAGAGTTCATACTGTTCACGCGGATCGAACCATCAGAAAGCTGCTTGGTTTGAAATTAATTTCTGTGTTAGCTATGCACTACACATCGCCACACTATTGACAGCTGAAATTTTGCTAAAGTGACCACACCTTAAGGGTGAAAGAGGAATAGGAAAGTCAGGGCACATGCTGCAAACTTTAAGCACAAACAGATGATGCCAGAGTTTAGAGTTGAACCACAATGGAAGTAATGGTGAGAGAAAAAGCTGCAGTGAGAGAGAGAGAGAGAGAGAGAAAGGGAGGGTGGGTGGCATGTTCTCAGACAGCAGGCGGAGCTGTAGTTGGAGGAGGGGTGCTGGGATGTGTGAGCAGATTTTTCCTCTAGTTTTTTTTTCTTCTCTAGAGACTGTAACTTGTGTCCTTTGAACACACAGCAACATCTTTGCTTTTGAAGGTCCAAACATGTACATTTGATTTGCTCTACTCAATAAAGTAACATGGTAACCTGCAACTGTTACTGATTTTGTTGGTGTGACCGAATGTGTTCAGGTTAATCAAGTGATGTTCAATAATATTTTTTAACTTGAATAAAATAAAAAATGTAGATGTTGCCACATGGAAGTATAGTTTTAGGATAACATTTGTATTTTCAGTGTACACACACCAACCTCTTTCTCTACTTTTGTGTTAAAATGCTTAAATATCAATCATGAATTGTGATATTTATCAAACTAGCCTACAAGAGCAATTTTTGTATAAGAAAAAACATTTATTTAATACTACAGAATCAACCTATAGGCTACACTAATAAATGTGATTTTAAGGGTCGGATTAAGTGGAAATAGCTCCTTAAGGAAACAACTGCATGTTAGCACTTGTTTAGATATAGGCCTGTGGCTAGTGTTATTCTGGAAGTACATTTGTTGATTCTCTAAGTATAATGACTTCCTTTTCCTGTTTTCCTCATTAATCTCACCTTTTTTTCTGATGATGCTCTCAGCTCCTTTTCCTCAGTCTCAAAAAGATGTGATATAATCAGGACCTTTGTGTCCCCATTCTCACACACTCACCCTTCATCTTGGTTCCCAAATCTTTTTTGAATACACTCATTGTCTGTATTTGATGGTACGATATCCAGAAACTATGACGGTAACTACTACAGGGCAAGGAGAGAGTTGGAAAACAGGCTTCATTAATACTCTCCTTTCACAAAAGAAAAAACAAACTTTGTTTTGACATGTCAGGAAGTAACAGCCCAAACTGGATTCTTAAGATATGCCATTCAAATATGAAGAAACAAGACAAATCGAAGACAGAGAACATTGAGAAACACAAAAGGCCATATCACAATACTTCAAGGTCACCTAAGAAGGAAATGTGATGTTTGCTCAGCTTTGACCTTACGAATACTGCAAAACAAGCCATTCTTATGGAAAAGCAAAACATTAGAACAATTAATACTAACTTGAAATAAATTTTTGGTCTGTAAGCCTGAAAAGAACTGAAGATAAGTACACAAATGCATGTCTGTAGCTGTCTGTTAAGCAAGAGC